GGAGGAGGAGGGGGGGGGGTCAACTTGCTTAGAAAATAACCTGCCTGCTTTCAGACTGTCACAGACTGTTACCAGGGCCTCTCATTTAACTCAAAGATAAACGCACTCTAACAAAAGCCTTGGATTACTTTTAAAGGTGAGATATGATTTTGCAAATGGGACTTTTCTATAATGAAGGTCTTGCCAATTAAACAGCATAAGGGATTGTGGGTGTAGGTTCAATTGCTTTGTAAAACGGACAGACTTCTGTTCATCTGGTATCAGTCTGTGAAATTACCAGTGGAAGGCCATGTGTCAGATCCCCCCTCGGAGTACGATAAGGAAATAAGTAAGCTGGCTCATAGTCCTCATTCTCCTTCTACTTTTCTGTGGACTGCATAGCATGGGCTGGCTGGCACCACCACAGAGACCCAGTGGCACCGTGCGGGAACCAACGTCAACTTGTGATGAAAGACGACGGCCGATTGTTTCCTGTTATTGAAAAAGGACGCATGGGTGGGGGTGGAGAGTTGGGGGCTGGCTCCAATAAAAAAGGAATGCCATTGAAGCAGAGGGCTACTGTCCTTTAGCTTCAGAGGGACTTAAATACCTGAAGCAAATGCAAAGTGTGATATACGCCTCAGTACGAGAGCACTGCAGTTGTTTGAGCATCAATGGACACAAGTAGCACGCAGTCGTCTCTGTTTCGTGTCACATCCCATGTGCACTTCTTTGTTCATTCAGCCTGAAGGAATGTGGTCATTTTACAGAGTCCATACACAAAATACTAACCAGACTTAGAGACATGTGCTGCCTTCATTAAACGTGTCCACTAAACTGTGTACACGGAGGTAAGTTCAGAGTGACTTAGGCAGTTAAATATTTCTTTTACATTCCTATATTGCACATATAAATCATTAGGGAGAGAGAAAATGAAAGAAAGCCACAAAACACTTGTGCAAGTGTTTGCTACTGGACTTTTGTGATTACTGTGAACGCTTTTGTTGCATTGTTGATTTGATACGATGATGACTCCTCCGAGTCTGTTCAGTGCAAAAAGGATGTTGTGTCTACTCTTCAGAACTCTCACTCTTTCTTTGTGAGGCTGATGTAGCCAAATATAAACACAGTTCAAAGAAAAATCAAACTTTTTTTCCCCCCAGTTTTGGTTTTTAAAGTAAGCAGCTCGTAAAAATGTCACACTATTTTGTTTTTATTAAAAACAATTACAAGGTGTTCCTACACATAATTGCAAATAACAAAATATTTTTGAAATGTTAAATAAGTAATTAATTTATGTATGTACAATTAAAAAAATGAACATTTTTTTAAATGTTTCCTTGAGTTTTTGAGCCGTATTTTTTAGTCTCAATTCTGCATTGCTCAATCTTCATGTTTGCAGGTTATGAATGTAAGAATAACTTTAATGATGTCTCATATCCACTTTGCTGGCATTGAAAAGCCAGCCATGAAAAAAAATTGCATATTAGTTAATGTAAAATGTGACAAAATGTGGTGTGGGAACAAATTTAGTGAATAAATCATGATTTAAATGAGATTATAAGTATCACTTAAGTCTCTGCTTTGCTGAAGGGAGCATAGGGAAGCTGGTGTGGCCCAGTGATGAACTTCAAATTAATACATAAATACCATTTTTCTGTTAAATTGTGAATATGGTTTCTCTCCTTTTTAAAATATTTTGGTCTTTTACTTCTGTCTCCTTGTGCCATCCTCCCCTGTAGCACTTCGCTTGTGAATTTGCTCCTAACTGTTAGATATAAAAGGCACTCAACTGACAACAGATTGCATTTTCCCCCTCATTGGTGAAAATGTATTCTGTATACTGAAACTTGACAACTGTCTTGTTGTAACTGCTTGCAGGTGACACTGACCTTGCTTACTATATAGCTGTCAAACTTAATGTCTGACTTCTTGGATCCTAGTCCAAAACAATCCCATCTTAATACACTTTAAATAATCTATAGTGTCCATGTGCTACTTTACACCATCACCACCACAAACGGGAGTCATAAAATGCACGACCTTTGTGCAATATGGTAATTATTGGCATTTACTGCATTGTGGGGATATTAGTAGAAAATGGTGTACATAGGAAAAGCACCTTTAGTGACACCTGGTAAATAATTTTAACTAAAATGGACCTGCTAATATCTTTAAATTATGCATCGGTTTCCTAAGTATAGACCATTAAACACAGCACTGACCTTTACCTGATAATAGGTGTGTAATTTCCATAATAGCACTGTAATGACACCGATTATGCTTCCCCGAGGCATACAAAAACTTACTTCCATATTACACAATTCTGTGTCGGACTGGGGACAATACTGTACATGAATAGGCGTGTGACTGGAAATAGAAATGAACGTGCATAACTCAAAATGAGCAACAATTTAGTGTGCCGTCAGCTCTGGGCAGCTTGGACTTTGTATATATGTGCATAAGATGAGCGGACATCTGGACCTTCTTGTCTCACTGAAAGATGAGAAACCAAATGTGACAGTAATTGTTGAAACACCTTCTTGTTGATATATATTTGGTAACACCTGTGCTCTGTTGTGTGGCATATGTGCCATTTGGTCTTCTCCAAACACATCACATTTCCTTCGGGATTAATAAAGTATTCTGATTCTGATTTGGACAAGTGTGGAACAGAAAGATATCTAGCCGTATCTCTGGGAATACTGCTTTAATCTGTTTCACCACTGACTGCAGGCACTAGTATTCTGCTTAAGTCACAGCTCAGTAAATTTGCTCGCAGCAGCAGTTTTGTAATTACGGTAAATGCTTTTGTTACACTGGTTTTCATGACACCGCTGAGCCTGATCAATCTTGCTTTTCATCACAACAAACCTAATATATTAAGAAAAGGTCTAACAACGCACTGGTGACCAGAATGAGTGGATGCTTCGAATATACACTCACCAGACACTCCATTAGGTACAGTTTGCTAATATTGGGCTGGGCCCACTTTTACATTAAGAACTGTCTTAATTCTCTGTGCTAATGATTCTGCAAAGTGTTGGAATGATTACTCTGAGATTTTGCTCTATATTTACATGACAACATCACAGAGTTGCTGCAGATTTAATGGCTGCACATCCATAATGTGAATCTCCCACAGTAATCCAAAAATGCTGTATTAGATTTTGTTTTTCATCGGACCAGGCAATGACTTTCTTCTACACAGTTCTGTTTTGTTGGGCCCATATGAGCCTTGGAATCATGTTCTTCTGTTGCTGTTGCCCATCCGCTTCAAGGTTTAACGTACTGTGTTGACTAAGAGACAATCTTCTACACACTTTAGTTGTAGTGAGTGCTTATTTAAGGTGTTATTGCCTTCCTATCAGCTCGACGAAGGCTAGCTTCTCTCCTCTGACCTCTGGCAAAAGCAAGGGATTTTTGTCCAGGCAACTAGATATTTTCTCTTCATCAGACATTTTTCTGTAAAGCTGAGATGGTTGTACATCTGAAGTTCTCAGACCTATATTGCCATATTCACAATCTCTTAAATCCTCTTTCTTCCCCAGTCTGACACTCACTTGGAACTCCAGCGGGTTAACTTGACCACACTGGGCACACTTAACTGGGCTGGGTTGTTGCCATGTGTTTGTTAGACTATATTTGCTTTAACTGGCAGGTGAGTGTAGATGATCGTTGTTTGTGCCAGATAAAACAGCTAAGGCTTGTGGAGCTGATTCCAGAAGGTTCATATCCTTTGCTATAAAACTTGGCCTATGTTATTCATCCTTCTCCTGAAAGTCTAAGCCCATTTTGGAAAGTACAGCTACTATGTGTCATAGGATTTTTTCTTTTCTTTCAACAATATGATCATCATTCATCAACACATGTATAAGGCATGTTTTCCTTTCTTATCTAAGCATGCCCAGTACTAGATACGTTTTAAATACAATAATTTCGCCCCGTGCGTTGTCACAGTTGGTTTCAATAGTAAAGTCTTATTACTCAAAAACTCCACGGAATGACAATAGCATGGCGGTGGGAGTGCTTATTAGACTGGGAGGGCTGCTGAAGTAAATTCGCACCGCCCAGACAGCACAAAAAAGTTTGGAAAGTCCAGGCATCGTTACATTGCTCAAAGCACCACATCCCCGCCCGTGGATTATAAACCTACTTTGTTCGAGATAGACACCTACATAAAAAGTAAGTTTTGCTGTTTATAACTTTCTCTACTTCATCTTTGTAACTCTCTGTGATCTGTGATTCATTTCCTGAAAGTTTGTTGGGAAATGTCTGTGTCTAAATTCTAAAGAAATCCGGCTTCATGTCCGTTTAAAAACAATTTAATGCGCATGTTTTGGTCAAATAACGCTGTGAAGATGCCAAATGTTCGAATTGCGAAAACACGGAATTATGGGAGGCAGAAATGGGAGGCGTGCGTGTGTTAAAGTCAAACTACTTTCTGTATTAACGCAGTGCCTGATAAAATCCGCGCTTATTACTTTACTAATATGCACATCTGTGGATTTCAAAAAGCACGTTAGTCCATGGGTAAGTCGTTTTCTCTCTTACGGCAAGATGTTGCGGGAAATAACGAATTAACGAGACATTTTGTTTTCCATTTGGAACTCCATAAACAGTTTACACAGGCTCTTCCTTTTACTCTATATGAATCATATAACAGGAGCAGTCTCCTTCTTATCTGATGCTGGCATTGTGGTATTATTTAAAGAAAACGGTGCCGTGGTGCTTCCTGAAACCATAGTGACCACCAGATAACCTCTAGGTTCAGACCCTCATTGTGTGCCAGGAAGACGGGCAGAAACATGATGAGATGAGGAAGAAATGTAAGCAAGTCAAGTCAAGTCAAGTCAAGTCAAGTTTATTTATAGAGCACATTTAAAAACAACCAAGGCTGACCAAAGTGCTGTACAGTAAATACAGATAAAAATACAATAAAACACAATTTCGTAGTAACACCTCGCTGATAAAAAGAAAAGAAAAATAAATAAAACAAATAAATTAAACCTTTCTAAAAGCCAATGAAAAGAGGTGAGTTTTAAGAGCGGTTTTAAAAGTTTCTAGGCTTTTGGAGAGTCTGACGTGAGGAGGTAAGCTGTTCCACAGTCTGGGTGCAGCCACAGCAAACGCCCTCTCTCCCTTTGTCTTTAATTTATACCTGGGAACATCTAAAAGCATCAGGTCGGCTGACCTCAAAGATCTCCTGGGGTACTAAGTACTAAGTACTAAGGAGTTCTGACAGGTAAGAAGGTGCAGTGCCATTTAAAACCTTAAAAGCCAGCAGTAAGATTTTAAAATCAATCCTAAAGGCAACTGGGAGCCAGTGGAGAGAGCAGAGAACCGGAGTGATGTGGTCTCTTTTTTTTGAACCGGTCAACAGGCGAGCGGTAGCGTTCTGCACCAGTTGAAGGCGATGTAAACAGGAACGATCTAGGCCAGCATAGAGGAAAAGCAGCTGTCTCCACCAATAATAGCATTACAATAATCATGTTAATAATAAATAATAATCACCATAATCGTGGTTGCTTAAGAGCAGAGACCAAACTCGTGGCATAAGCTGTCCATTACACACATGTGGAGACTTGGTTTGACATCCCACGCTGACTCTCAGAGGGACATGCTGGAAATTGGCAGTTAGTCAGAGCCTTATCAGCCATCACGTCTCCTCCTCTCCTCACCATTTCCCCAGCTTCTTACTTTCTGACCTTTCCACCTTTTTAAGACTGGAATTGTTCTGCTCTTCCTCTGTCACAGTCTTTTGCTGCTCTGCCACCAGACAAGCACACTTCAACCTCCGCCCGAGTGTCTTCACACCCCAGAGACTGAGATTCAGCTTTCTCCCAACACCTTAAACTTCAGCAGCAGAGATGGAGGATTGCGTGACACGGTTTGCCCTTTTTCTGTGCATCATCGCTACTACAGCCTTTGGTAAGTCTGCCTGCTGTTATTGAGCATTTTAGCAGTTCAGATCTGAAGTTAGTTTCCGTTCTTTCTTTTTTTTCTTTCTTTCTGCAGCTTGATTTTATTAAATTGGGAAAAAGGAAAACATTATCATCCTAGTCAGCAGACACTAGCTTTAGAAAAAACCTCCAGGGACTGTTTCTGGCCTAAAGTTCAAGATCGTCTCCTGTCTCGTGCTCTGACAATAATGTAATTTTTTAGATGGAAATCAGTCTGAAGATGAAAAAATTACATGCAAAAAAGAACAAAACTCTTGAATTATGGTTGAATTTTACAAATCAAATGAAGAATTATGCTGGTAACAAGGGAGCAAGTGTTGTTCCAAGTCAGCCAAAGCATTTGTTTGTCTAGTTTTTCTTTTTTTTTTTTAGTGCTAAAAAATATTTTCTTTAAAGATTGTCCAGATTCAGGTAACAAGACGGCATGCGGATGCTACATAGATTTTATGTGATCTTCCTCTGTTGTCCGCTCTGCCATTCCCTGCCTTGGCTGCATGTGGCTGCTCATATCGAATTCAAACCTGTAATCCCTGCGAGGTAGCAAAAGGATCAGAAACCCCCCCTATCTCCATAGGCCTTAATCCAGCTTCGCTCTCTTACCTCCAGTGATGCTTCAGGGTGTTTGCGTCACACTTCCCCACAGCAGCATGGCATTTGAGGTGGCCACAGTTTAGGTGTTTTTTTAATAAGGTAAAAAAAATGTTATATATTTCATGTTAAAACATTAGCAGGTAAAAATGGATCAAAGTGCACATTTTTTTGTTACAGTCATCTCCCCCCCCCTCCAAATAAGAGATATGCTAATCTGAATATGAAAATGTTTCACTTTTAAAAACAAGAAATTATCAGTCTTTTATTATTAGCTTTAGGGAAACCTTTTATCCCAGTCTGGTTGTTCTGAATTGTCAAGTGTTAAAAGCTACGAGCCTCAATTTAATAGCTGACTGTAAATGTAAAACACACATTTCCTCACTCGAAATGTCATAAAAGAACGCATAACACGCCCTGGTGTTATTTAATACAGCTTTAAAATTAACTGTCAGTTAAATGGTGCTTGCATTTTTCAGTGCCATATACTTACATATGCAAAAAACAAAAACGAAAACCTAACAAAACACTTAAGTGCCAAATAACCTTTTCCACACTCCAGCCCCATAAACATACAGTAGAAAAAATAAAGTGACATTTTCAGCTTGCTCTTTAAATAAAGCAAAGTAGCCGAGGCAAGCATACATCACTGTTAAAGTTATGCGCCAGAAAAACAAGCCTATTCACTGAATTTGGCTTCAGTGCTGACCTGCTGTATGACAAATCACAATATTGCCACAAGTGCTAAACACCCTCTCAGCAGGGGTGCTGGTGGCAGAAATACAGAGGTATTTTTTGGCCAACTGGCAGACCTATGGAGAGCTGACCTTATGTAGCATCCACCGCAGGGGATCAGTCTCGCTGTCTGCTGGTGTAGTCTGTGAGGAGCTGTTTTGCTCAGTCCTAATTGCCTCTGTGACACATAGTTCTGTATTTGCTATTATTTTTTTCTTTCTTGAATGAGGCTCTGCAAATTTTCCTTTTTTTCCCTCCTTTTCTTTGCATCTGCTGCAGCAGCTTTAGAAGAAGACCCAGAGGGAGCTGTGCCACTATTTTCAGGCGACAAAGCGCTCTGATTCTCTGTACATCGTTTCTGCTTTAAGTTTATTTCTTTATTATGTAGCCCAGTACTGTCATATTATTTAACCATTTTCTCTTATATAGTCTTCTGGGATTAATAATGCGTTCTTAAGTAAATCAAGCACAATCCTCAGGTGTGACATGCTGTACCCAGCGCCGTAAAATCATATTTCCAGACAGGTGATAGATACATAAATAGATATATGAGTATATATTCCGTACACATTTGGAAACATCCACTGTGATTCGATGTCTGCGTGTTTAATCGAATCCAAGTAAACTTCAAGTCACTGTTGGAGAAGACACGATGTGAAGGCAACTGAGAAGAAGAGGTAAACAGAAAAAAGTAAATCAAAAATAGCCCGCAGCCTGCCACAAATCCCATGAAGCCCTTACCCAACTGCAAGAAATGGCATATTGTGTTTTGCTTCAGGTCAGTCTTGCTTTAGCTTTATTTAAGCTTTCCATATGTTTGACCCCCTGTCAGCTCCTTGAAATCAGACTCATGAAATCCTCGTGTGACGTTTAAAGCAGGGTTTGAATTTCAAACAGTTGTTAAGCTCAAAGTTAAAGCAAGCCTTATACTTCATGTATAGATCTTATTGGTATATTACGCACTCTGAGCTACTACAGATGCACAATCTTGCAAAATGACCCAGTAAAACCCAGAGGATTATGTTTGTACCCTTAATTCTAAGAGTCATATACTTAACGTGTGCACCTAATTTCCTGAAATTGGAAACTTAATTGCTCCTTGGAGCTTCCCTTGGTCTTCTGTCATGTGTTCATTTACCTTTGGACAGATTATTAGCGTTAAAGCGTTAGCAGTAAAAAAAACTTGGAGGCTAGGGCTTTTTCCTTAACGTTCCTGCACGCTTATCAATTCACTGTTGGGCTGTCTGAGACCAAAGGACTGAAATATTCTTCCTATTACAATAGTACAGACAGTGTCTTTCATTAAAATGACACTATCTAACTAATCCGGCCAAATTTAGAGACTCTATAGATGATAATAAGGTGGATGCCTCGCAGCAGTCCCTGGGTAAATCAGTAAAACTGCAGTCATCTTGTTAAGCCCACCAGACTCCAGTTCCTTAGCTCTTACGCTGACTTGCTGGCTTCCTTTCTTAAAAAGCCAGACATGACTTTTGTACTTACCCTGCAATTTGACAAACACGGATAAATTTGGTTCGGAGGCCGTGTTTTCTTTAGCTCTGGATTATCTGTAAAGTCACCCTCTGCCTATGTCTTCCAGTGAAACGATCATCCGTTCTTTCATGTTACTGCATGATTATTAAAATTCTCTCTGTGTTGGGATCAGTCAGGCCTCTCTCTTTCTTGTTTGCAGCTCATCCATATTCTCTGGACGAGCTTCTGTCAGGCTCCAGTGAAACAGACAACATCACGCTGGTCTTAGTTTCACTACACTGTCTCCCTGTGAGGTCAATTGTGTTCAAAATGTTGCTGTTTGTTTTGAAGTTCTTACATGGTCCAAGCTACAGGTTTATCTCTGAGCGCCTCTGAAGCCGCGATGTGTCTGAATCCGTTTTAACTGTGGCATTTGCTTGTGTCAAGCTCATATAGACACTGATACGTCTAATAAACATGCAGTTTCCCCTCAGTTGTCTAACTCTCTTTAGGTTTTCCTTTAGACTCTTTTTTTGTGTAGTTTTTGACTCTTTCGAGTGTGAAGTGCAGCTACTGTGTCAGGTTTTCTTGCAGTTGCATTGTTTTGAGGCATTATGTGAAGGTAACGCGGCACCTTCTCCGTGTGGATGTGTAAGTAGGATGACTTTTACTGATGTAAGCCAGTGCTTATGTTGTGTCACGTTAAATTTGCACTGGCTCACTGTTCAAAAATAGTGTGACGGAGAGTTGAAACACTGAAGACCGAAGACGCCTTTGTTTCCCTGGCACCACAACTGGTGCCTCCCTGTCTTGTTAAGAAGTCTACTTTCGTAAACGCCCCCACTCTTATAACTCTCTCATTAATCTTAACTTTCTAAGCACAAACTGCGATAACCCTCATGATGTCATCGGGGTTAATTTGCCTGACTTGAAAAAAGCCCCTCCAGGATACAGAGGACATTATGCAACTAGCTTTCAGGCTGTTACAAATGAACGGATCTTTGTGTATACAATCAGCGGAGTGCCCCTGCTGGCCTTTTAGATCTAGACATTTTAGCATGTATGTAGTTTTGTTATCCAAGCGTCGCTGCAGATTGCGTCTGGCTAGCCGCTTATTATATGGGAGGTAGCTGCATGCCACCTCCTTTGAAGACAATTTTCAGATTATTATTTCCAGACCGAGCACAATAAGCGTTACCACTTAAGCCGACCGTGGCAGTTGGACGCATAAACAGTTATCTTTGCGTCTGACTGAAGTCTTTGTATTTAGTGATTTTTATCCACTGTGAGTCCGGCATTTCCTGGCAGGAAAATCGTGTTGAATATGCCCCCTGCTGCAACAGCTTTCCCAGTGGGAGACAGACATCGTGATGTTAACTGCCAGACCTCCTGCTGCACTTTTGCTTACCCCCGAGCCTCCCGCCACGGGCTAAAGGAAAAGTACAAAAGTGATTAGCGAACCACTGGAGAAGGACGACAAGCTGTCTGAAAATTAATCTTAAAGAGGGAAAGAGAGAGACAGGCGGACAGACAGAAACACAAACAGAGATAACAGAATTCATAAAGGCTGATTCATGGAGACAGTGAGGGAGTGGGGATCAAATTTATGTGACTGTCAAAGAGAAGATAAGTGGTTCAGAAGAAAGATTTTGGGGGGAGAAGTAAATAGTGGATTAAAAAAAAGAAAGATAAGAAAAATGCAAAACGGATAAACATTAAGAGATATAGAGGAGGGGAATTTCAAGTAGTGATAAGTGAAAATGCAAAACTATTAATTACACAAAATAATGACATCAAAGAGAAAGACGAGGAAAGAAAACTTCTGAAACCAAAAGAGGAATGTGTTCGTTTACAGAAAGGGGATGTCAGGGACTTAAAAAGATTATAAGAAATTGAAAGAGATGACTGAGACTTCTCAGAAAGCATGCTGAAGTAGAAAAAAAAGAAAAAAGAAAAAAACACGTCATGTTAAAAATGGCTTTGAGAGTCAAAACAGTCAACTTCCCCTGTTTTACTGCAGTGAGCCAGCTCTGCCTGCAGTCAGACTGGGTGGCAGGGAGACGCGACCGCTTGTCGCTGCCTGAGACTGATTTCAATCTCCTTCAGTGTTATGCCCCTCCCAAATAACAATCCATTTCTGACTGCCTCGCTTTTCCTCTGTTTGAATACAGA